ATTTTAAAAAATATATATATATGAATTTGATTTTTTTTTCAAATTGAAGTATATGTTGAATTGGTATTATTTCAACATTTTATTAGGTTATAATTATGTCATGGATATGATAAAATAATAATATCTTTAAATATCACATACCATAATTTATTTGATCGTTAAAATATTATATTAATATAAATAAAATTATATCAGTGATTAAAATGATAGTTATTATTCTTAAAGTTTATGGGTTTGAATATCAATAATTATTAGAAAAGAGTTTTCTATAAAATTTAAATCTTTTCAAGACATATAAAGGGTATGATTGATATTTGACCTATAATATTATAATAAATTTTAAAAAATTAAATTTATTTTTAATAACATATTATTATCTGATTTAATAATAACAATATTAAATATTTAAAAAACTTATATGTAAAGAAAAAAATGGACGAATAACGAATACATATATCTTGTTCAGTATCCACCGACTTGAGAAAATATCTAGAAATTAGGAAAGCATCAAGCAAAGGAGTGGGAACATGGTGACCGATGAGCCTCACCATCTTTTGACTTAAATAAATTTGGCGATGTAAGTAATCCCCAAACTCCGTCAAATTTAGGAAAACTGACCTAAAGAAGATTTAATAACTCTTGGTTAGCTGTAATCATTTTTTTAATAATAAGATATTTCATTTATCGAAAGTCGTATTAATAAACGTTTTGTCAATTATAGACTGAATAAATACAATTAAAAATATTGAAAATAAAATATAACAATAATCACTTAGAGATAGTCTATAAACAAAACTATTAACAAAAGTAACAACATATATAAACAAATTTTAAATTAAAAATAAATATTAAAATAAATAAAAAATATTAAAAATTAATATTTATATTAATTTCAAATTTCTAGGCAAATATTTAAATGCGTATATTAAGTTTATAATTATTTAAATTCACATTATTTGTCGTGCACAATCCTTAAAAGATTCAATCCAGAAAAAATAAAATTATGGGAGAGTTTCAATCTACACAGTATAAAAGAGCGGAATCTGTAACCAGGGGACGGGGCATACGAAGAATGGATATGAATGCTTGGCTGCTTGCTTTCTAGCTGATCAATGCCCTTCTGATTTCGCAGCTTCATCTCACAGTTGAGGCCACTCGATCTGTTTCTGGCTCACCTTCCGATCCAATTCGTTTCAAGGCTTTTCCGATAATTAGGAAGTGGTTTCCAGGAGGACTCTTCGACGCCGACCATTTGCACCGCCGTCACCTAAGATTCGTCCGCGGCCATCTCCTCAACTATCTCCACCACCACCATGTCTGTGATTTTGATCAGATGTTTTAGAGGAAGCGTTTTGTCGTTTACCTACAGGCTTGTATTTAGAAGCAAAAATGAGCCCAGCAATATCGAGGTTGAAAGAATGAAGTTATGAATCTTTGATTATTCTACTGTCTTCTTTTTACATGGTGGAGTTTTCTTTCTTTCAGCCCATGAATGTATTTATATATTATAATTATTTGGGTAAACTATGCATTTAGCACATAAAGTTTCACTTTTTATATGTTTTAGTATCTGAAATTTTAATTTTTATAAAATCATACTTAAAGTTTAATTTTTGTTTCATTTTAATACTCGTCTTTAAAAATTTAACGACATGGCTGACATGATATTTTGAATGCAGGTCTCCTTGGGGAAAAGAAACAAATGAGATAGCACAGGTAATTAGTTATATATGCCAAACTAAATATTTAACTTATACCAAACTATCACTATAAAATGAAAGAAATTTGTTAGATCTATGATTCCAACTTAGAACATCTCACAAAATATTCAAACATTTCATTATTAAATAAGATAAAGAATTAATTTAATACATACCAAAATTATCATTTAACTTATAAAAAAAATTAATAAACAAAATTAAATTAAATACATATATTTTAAATTATTTATGATACAATACATAAATAAAATAATATTGATCTTATAAAATATATAAAAAAATTATTTTTATTTTAAATTAAAATGAGAAATTATTTAATTTTAATTTAATATTTTTATATGTTAAAAAATATTTTTTATGTATTAAATTAATTATTGATCTTATTTAGTGATTAAATACTTGAATATTTTATGAGATATTCTAGGTTGGAATCATAGATCTAACAAATGTTTTAAATTTTATAATGATAGTTAAATATATACTTTGACAATCCAGTTACTTATGCTAGCTCAGTCGGTTGAGCAAATCCTTTTCCCTAAGAGACCTAGGTTCGAGTCCTAGCGAGCGCTTCCTTTGGGAGTTTTGTTTAGTTGAATACAATTATTTAAATATTAATATGAATAATAATTTAAAATTAAAAAATAATTAAAATGACATGTTAGCTCTTTAGGTATGATTTTGTAAAAACTTAAACTTTTGGTACTAAAACTTACCAAAAGTGAAACTTTAGGTACTAAATGCATAGTTTACCCTAATTTTTTTAACGATATAAAAACAGTTAGTTTTGTTAAAGAATAATATATTCAAACTATAATAAAGGTTTACAACTTAAATCGTAAATTAAACGTATAATAAACATATTTTTCTTTAATTATTAACATAAAAAGCTAACTAATTAAGATCATAAGATGAAAAAGTTAAAAAAACATAATTAAATAAACTCGAATAAAAGGTAGATACAAACATATCTAACTGTATCCGCAAATGAATCAAAAAATGAATCAAAATATTAAAAGACCACCAATAAACAACCACAAATTAGTATCGATCGACGAAAGAAAACTATCCACAAATGTAAATCATGTATCCAAATCTAATCCAAGAGTCCAAATCAGATAATATCAATATGATAATAAAAAGTGTCATATTTGATCAGTCGTAACGATGTCAAATCTAACAATGAGAAAATGATAAATGAAACTAACATACAAATGATCAAAACTTGTAAAAAACAGAAGAAACGTGTCATAAAAGCAGAGTTCATGAAAAACGATTGGATGATCACTAGTTTAGTTTAAGTTCAATATTTCACCTCAGTTGCTCCTAGTTGCAGTCGAGTAGCAGCCGATTTAGCCTTCTCCGGTTGTGAAAGGCCAAATTTGTTCAAAGCATTCTAGTGATTCTAGTTGTTGCCAATGTTTCTTGGTGTTAGCCCAGTGTGGTATGATTTGTTGTTCTTGCCAATATTTATCTATGGTGTTTGTCAGTGTGCAGAGTGGCCTTTCATGGCACTATTTATTATGTGTCTTTTGGTTTTAGAGTGCATATTTTCTCTTCCTTGAGAAGGGGAAACTTGGAGATATTTAATCTTCCTTGCTATCATTGCCTTTCCGCGATATGTTATTTCTCTTTGGCAATCCTCAAATTAATAAATTTCTGCCGTTTGTGGAGCGAAAAACAAAATAGAGACATAGTTCTTAAAAAATTTAAAATAAGAAAAAACAATCACATAATATGATCAGATAAAATAAAAATAGTAAATACTAAGAATCGACAATCGATATTAAAATTGAAGTCTCAGCTAATCACAAAAAATAAAATATCGACAAAAAAAATCTAGGGCCAAAAACCCACCTATAAAAATAAAAAATATCTGAGGGGTTATTTATAATTAATTTTTTCTTTTTTATTATAATTTTTTAATAAATTATATTTGATATTTTTTACTCACAACAATATCTTTTTGTGTATTAAAATTTAATTTCTCAATATTTATTCATCCAATATAATCTTAATCTTTTGAATTTATAATCTTATCTTGATCTAACATATTTTTATTAAATTTGTTTTAACAATTTTTACCCAGGGGAAGCCAGAATGAAAAGTTTGCTCTTAATGAATAATAAAGCCACAATCAATGGGAGAAAAGAGACATTAAGTGAGAGTTTTTAACCATATGTTCTAGAGATTATTAATATATTCTCATTAATCTTAAAAATTAACTTAAATTGTTCATTTAATCTACTTTTTTATCACAGGAGAAGACTAAACGAATTAGTAGTGGCGAATCTAGAAAAATACTACTATTGAATGGGCCAATATAAATAAAATAAAAAATTATAGATTTATCTACATATAGATCCAAAGGTTCTTTATTTGAAACTTGAGTGTTAAAAAATAATGCCTCATACCTTTTATTATCCTACTAACCTTTTAATTTATAATACAATGTTCAATCCATTATACAAGAATTAAAATCTATCTGCTTCTAACTACTTCTAACAACCTATCAACAAACTCCTAACAAACTAACTAACATTTGTTATCTCAACACTCCCCCTCAAGTTGGTGGGTGAAAAACATTTGAAACCCCCAACTTGACTGTCAAATACTAGTGTTGCTGAGTGCCAAGCGCCTTAGTCAAGACATCTGCAGGTTGCTCCTTTGAAGATATGTGTTCAGCTATGATAAATCTTTCTTAAATCTTGTCTCTAACAAAATGGCAATCAATTTCAATGTGCTTCGTTCTTTCATGAAAGATAGGATTAGAAGCAATCTGTAATGCTGTGTTACTGTCACATAACAACTTAGCAGGTTGATCCTGTTTCACTCCTAGTTTATTCAGTAATCCACTCAGCCAAATTAATTCTGTTGTAGTTATACGTGCTTCTATACTCAGCTTATGCTGAAGAACGAGCCACTGTGTTATATTTTTTCAACTTCTATGAGATCAAAGAATTTCCAAGTTTTATACAATATCTTGTTACAGATTTCCTTGATATTGGGCAAGTTGCCCAATCAGAGTCACAAAGGCGATTAAGCCACATGTACTTGAAGAATCTAGCAAAATTCCCTGCCCTGAATAAACTGGCTTCTTCCATATGCACCTTTCTATGATGATGCATAAACTGGCTTAGGCGCTGTACTGAATAGGCTATGTCAGGCTTGGTGTGAGTTAAGTGTATAAGCCTGCCTATGAGTCTTTGAAACTGTGTCCTGTCTACCATACCTTTTTCATTTTATTTCAAGCACTTAGTGTCCGAAGCAGCAAAGAAATTACTATTCTGCTCCAAAGGTGTTAAAGCAAACTTTGTTTCCCCTGCCCCCAATATCTTTTATTAATTCTAAAGCATATTTACGCTGATTTAAGATAAATCCCTTCTCTGATCTCAATACTTCAAGCCCAAGAAAGTATCTTAATTCACCCAAGTCTTTCATCTTGAGCTTAGAATTCAGTGTACACTTGAGCTCTTCTATCATATCAGTATCACTGCCAGTAATCAGCAAATCATCTATATACACAAGCACAATGACCAACTTGTTTGCTACTCACCTTGTAACATCGAGTAATCATGTTTACTTTGTTGAAATCTTGATGATATAAGTGTTTCAGAAAACTTCTTGTCCCATTGTCTAAAAGCCTGCTTGAGTCCATACAGAGACTTTTGCAGCCGATAAACCATATGCTCCCCCTGGCTGGAAAAGCTTTCAGGCAACTGCATATAGACTTCTTTAACCAAATATCCTTGCAAGAACGAATTGTGAACATCCATTTGCCACAATGGCCAGTCAAATATGGAAGCAAACGCCAAAATCAGTCTCACAGTAGTGAGTTTAACAATAGGAGAAAAAGTTTCCACATAGCCAACACTCTCCTTTTTATTATACCCTTTGGCCACCAACCGAGCCTTGAACCTTTCCACCTCACCCGAAGCATGATACTTGATTCTGTAAACCCACTTGCAACCAATGGGAACTTTACCAGAGGGCAAAGGTGCCACAGTCCAAGTATTATTCAATTTCAATGCTTGAATCTCTTCTCTCATTACCTGTTGCCATTATGGACTTTAACAGGTTTCTTGATAAGTGGTGGGTTCATTAAAATGAGAAATGGAAGCTAAAAAAATGTTGAGAATGTGAAGGTAAATGAGAATAAGAAATGTACTCAGAAATGGGGTAAGTAGCAGAAGATGAAGTGGATTAGCAAGTGCATACATAATCATTTAACCAATTTGGAGGCTTGGAGATACGAGTTGATCATCTACACACAAGTGGATCATGAGATAAAGGAGGAATACCATCATGAGAAGACTCTAAAACAGAAGGACTATCAGATGCACCTGTTGAAAAATCAGATGGAGAAATGGAAGGAATAGGTTACACAGTAGGAATTTCTTGTGAAGAACTTGAAGAATTATCAATATGAGATGTATTAAAAGGTATTAAAGAATCAAGGATTAAAAAATCAAAATCGGGAATATGAGAATTTGAAGGAAAAAAGGAGAAGATTATGAAACAGGAAAATGAAAAGGAAAGATAATTTCATAAAACACAACATCTCAGCTCACAAGAAATTGCTTTGATTGAAGACTAAACAGAATGTACCCCTTTTGAGTTGATGAGTATCCCATTAAAACATAAGGAACAACCTTAGGAGAGAACTTGTCAAGGTAGTTAAGCTTGGTAGCATAACATAGACAACCAAATACCCTTAAATGAGAAAGATCAGGAATTTTATGGTGAAGGGCTTCAAAAGGAGTTTTGAAATTAAAAACCAAAGAAGGCAAGTGATTTATTATATAACAGGCTGTAGTAACACACTTTCCCCAAAATTTGATAGGAACTTTTGAATGAAACCGAAGTGCCCTTGCTACTTCAAGGACATGTCTGTGTTTGCGTTCAACAACCCTATTTTGTTAGGGAGTCTGAACGCATGAACTTTGATGAAGAATTCCAAATGAGCTAAAAAATCCAAAACAATGAGAATTAAAGAATTCGGTGTCATTGTCACTATGAATAATTTGAACAGTGGCTGAAAACTGAGTGTTAACAAAAGTGATGAATTTTTTAAGAGATATAATAGTATCACTCTTTAATCTCAACAAGTGCACCCAAGTCATACAAGTAAAGTCATCAACTATAGTTAAAAAGTACCTATGACCACTATGTGTAGCAACTTGATAAGACCTCACAAGTCTATATGAATGAGACTAAAAAGAGCTTGTGAAGAAGTAAGGCTGACAGGAAATGAAAGTCTAGTTTGTTTTGCTAAAGGATATCTGGGAAAAGAATGCAACAACTTGGAATCCAAGTTAACATAATGCAACAAGGGTAATTTGTTCATAGTCGTAACAACAGCATGTCCCAAACGAGAATGCCAAATGCTTGTATTATTACTAGAAACTGTTGTCATACATTCAGATGACACATGACCACAATCAAACAAATTTGAATCATATGACATGCTAGAGGAAATATTAGAAGACAACTCACTTGAATATGTATGTGTAGATGACAAACCAGAAGGTGAATCTGATGACTAAAAAAAATAAAGCGCTCTAAACTCTTTACCAATCCCCTTCATCCTTTCACTTGAGAGATCCTGCAGAATGCAAAAGTCAGGATAAAAAACTAACAAAACAGTGAAGGTCACGGGTAAGCTTTGAGATAGAAAGTAAATTGTGAGTGAAATTTGGTACATATAACACATTAGACAGATTTGTGGTTGAATTTAGAAAGCATGAACCAACATATGTAATTGGGACAGTTTTACCATTTGCCAATTGAATAGATCGTGAGGAACACAAGACAGGGGATTTCAAGCATTGAAAATCAGATAATATATGATCTGTAGCACTTGTATCTAAAATCCAAGTTAGTGATTTACTAGAAGCAGGTAAACAACTATCAATGATACCTGCAAGATTCACAGTGGAATTAACAGAAACAGCAGAGGACAACAGGCTAAGGATCTGGTTGTATTGCTCCTGAGTGAAGGTAGGTGCCAAGGGAGCAGGAGCAGAGGAATTTAATTTGTAATGGGCACCAGCATGGTCCGAGGCAGCAGCAGGTTCAGAGACAGCTACTGCAACTTGAGTATTTTTTCGTTTAGAGAACTTGAAATCGGGTGGAAACCCTATAAGGCGGTAGCAACTATCTCATTTATGACCCTTGATCTTGCAATAGTCACAAACATCTTGAAACCGACGACGATCAGGAATCCCAGAGCTTTTAGAATAAAACACCGATGAATCCAGACTTGAAGGCATAGCATAGAGCTGAATTTGCTGAGACTCCTCTTGAGCAATCATGGAATAGGCATGGTTTACCAAAGGAAGAGGCTGCATCAGTAGGATTTGGCTTTGAATCGACGAATAGGTTTCATTTAGGCCCATCAGAAATTGAAGAAGCTGATGCTGGGAGAGATGCCTGGAGTACTGTTGCTAACTTACACACTCACATGATGAAATCAGAACAAGTGTAACTTACTCATCCCATAACATCTTCAATTTGGTGAAGTAAGTTGATACACTCAACTCACCTTGAGAAATAATAGCTATTTCACGATGGAGGAAAAAGATTCTAGAGCCATTTACCTTATCAAAACGCTCATTCAAATCGTTCTACACCGAAGCCGCATTTGAGGCGAAAACAATGCCAGCCAAGAGCTCTTTACTCACGACGTTGAGAATCCAGGATAGTACGATGGCATTACACCTCTCCCATTAAGGATGCAAATCAAGATCGTAATTCTCTTTCTGGCAAGCACCATCAACAAAGCCAAGCTTGTTTTTCGCCAACAACGCGATTCGTATCGATCTACTCCAAACGTTGCAGTTCTCCAATCTGACTAGTTGATGAGAAATTAACGGAGTGTCTGGAGTGTCTGATGGATGCAAGAAAAGAGGATGATTGAAATCAACCAAGGCTGATTCGTTCATCGGAGGCATTGCGGTGGAGACCGTCAAACGAAAGCCCTAGGAAACCAATTTGGGGAAAAAACGATAGAGAGGAGAGCTGTTGTGGGAATGAAACCGAGCCACACTACCCGGTTTAGAAATGGGCCAAACAGAGAAACCCAAATAACAAAGGCCTGGAAACTGATACCATGTTAAAAAATAATGTCTCATACCTTTTATTATCCTACTAACCTTTTAATTTATAATACAATGTTCAAGCCATTATACAAGAATTAAAATCTATCTGCTTCTAACTACTTCTAACAACCTATCAACTAACTACTTCTAACAACCTATCAACTAACTCCTAATAAACTAACTAACATTTGTTATCTCAACATATATCCCTTGACTTGTATCAACAACTGTTTCAGTGGGAACATTGTGGTATGTACTTTCAACGTCTAATTTGAGTATGGGCTCAATTTTAAAAATTAAAAATCTATTATTTTTCTTTTTATATTTCAATTTAAGAAAAATAAATGAGATAATCAATGTTCATTCCTATTATCCTAAATCCATAGATTATAATAAGTAAAAAATAAAAATAAGAATGATAAAAACAAGAAAAAGTCAAAACCTTAATCAAAATATTAATTACCTTTCAAATTTCACCTCTTGGCTCTTGTAATAGAAAATGTTGCAAGGAGAAAATCTGTTGAACCAAAATAATCGATTGCCTTAATGCCTTTCAAATTCCATCTTTGCTTTAAAATAGCTGCACATGGAAAAAGGTTTTTAAATCATCTGGGTCCATGCTCTCTAATTTATAGGCCGCCGTTTAGAGATGGGCATGAGACTCGAACCGATAGGTTCGACTCGAACCGACACGATTGGAGTTAAGGTTTTTTTTTTTAAAAAAAATTGGGTTCGGGTTGGGTCAGGTCGAATTTTTAAAAATGATGTTCAGTTCGAGTCGGATTCGGGTTTAGGGTGAAAAATACCGACCCGAAAAAATATAATTTTACCTTATATTTAGGAATAATTATAATAATACCCCTCTATATATCATTTTTTTAATTAAATCACATTTTTATTGAATAAATTTTTTTATTATTTATAGTCGTGTCAAATCGAGTTTAGATTTTATCTCAAAAAATCGGGTCGAGTTCTGGTCGGGTGGGGTATATATTTTTTAAGTCGTGTCGGGTCGGGTGAATGATATAAAATTTTTGGGTCGGGTCGGGTTGGCCGAAACCCGACCATGCCCATCCCTACCGCCGTTATTAGGGGTGTGTAAATTAACCTGTAATTGTTAATCGTAACCATTAACCGGTATAACTGTCACATTTTACAGGTTAATTAATCGAACTGTTAAGATTAAACGATTTTCGGTTAACTAAATCGTTAAAAAAAGATTAATGATTATAAATTTTGATAAAATGGTTAACCGATGGTTAACCATCATTAAATTATAAATATAAATTTCAAAGATCGCTCTACAAATCCTAGTAAAAATTGAAGGTTGATTTTATAATTAACTATATTTTTCTTCAAAGTAATTCTATTTCAAATTAATTTCGAAGACTCGTTCTTTTATTTTTCTTTCTTGATTTATATATAAATCTGTCATCCTAGTTATTTATACCGACAAATTCAACTTGCAAATTGAATTAAGGGTGTTGCAAATTGAGTTATAACTAATATAAATTGAGTTACGACTGCTACAAAAAATAAGTTCAAGATTTCAAACTACTTTATTATTATCTATGTTTTATTTTTAATTATTTACTTAACTTTAAAAATATATATTTTATATTTTAGTTGACAAGAAAAACAATAAAACATATTACAAAGAAAAAATCCAGCTTCAAGATTAATGAGACAAATTCCATTTCAGAGGAAGCCATGAAGACCTTAGGTATTGGTGATTTGGTACTAGAATTAATTTTTTGTGGCTTGCGGTACTACAGCATAGAAGTTTCATTTACCTTATGTTGGAGTTATTAGAGACTTTTAGTTATCATGTTTATTTTATGTTTAGCTTTGAAACGTTGATGGTGTTTTGGACTATTGTTAATTGATATGTGTTTAAATTTATAATATGATTAATTATGTATTTTGTGGGTGTTGGAACTTTAAACTAATATAAAAATATGTAAATGTAGTATGTGTATGTATTAAGTACTATGCAGTGTGAATATGTATTTTTTTAAAAATTAAGGAATAAAAATGTGAAAAAAGTGCAATAGGTTACAGATTAACATGTGTAACCGAACTGTTAGTAATGATTAAATGTTATCGGTTAACCATTTCTTAATGATTAGGTCATGATTGGTAAAATTCAGTAATCGTTATAACGGTTAACCGACCGCGAACACCCCTAACCGTTATGGTGAAATAAAATGAAATTGGTGTTGCGGAAGACGGCTATCGGATAGAGCAAAATCGTAACTGATAATTTGAGAAAATAAAAATGAAGATAAAAAGAGACACAAAATTTACGTGGAAAACCCCTAAATAAAATAGGGTAAAAACCACGGGCAACGGTAGAAGAATTTCACTATGAGAAAATAGGAATTACAACCTCTCGATCTACCAAGGAGAAAATAAGGATAATTTTCTCTCGATAAAAAGGAGAAAACAACTCTCAAGAAACTCTCTAAATTCTCTCTAGTATTGGAAGAAAGCTAGAATGCTTTGGGATGGTTTTGAAGCTAAATGAGCTAGGGTATTTATAGTTGAAGTCTTAAGGACTAATTTGTAAATACCCTAAATTACAATGACTAAATTTAAGCTTTTACCATTTTATTTTTCAACAATTTCAGCCCCCTTTTTGACTACATGAATCGGTGCCCCATTTGTTTTTAATTTTCCAACTTTCGGTGCCATGTGCACTAGATTTCAACAATCTCCCACTTGAAGATTTGATTGGAACAATCATATCTTCACACCATTCTTTCTACCTTGTACCTTTCATGTTGCTTATGTCTCTGACAGGCCACAGGAGGATTGACACCAAGTAAATTTATCGGCATTGATCGCCTTCGTCATGAAATCTGCTATGTTGTCTTTGGTATGGATCTTCTGCATATCCACTGTCCCTTCTTCCACTTTTTCACGAATGAAATGGTACTGAACTCGTATGTGTTTTGTCCTTGAATGAAATGTTGGATTCCTTGCTAGATGCAAGGCGCTTTGACTATCACAAAATACAGAGACATACTCTTGATTGTGCCCAAGCTCCTCCAATAGCATCTTCAACCAAATTGCTTCTTTATTGGCTTGTGTAGCTGCTACATATTCTGCCTCTGTTGTGGACGTAGCCACAACTGACTGCAATTTTGAAACCCAGCTTACAGCTCCACCAGCAACTTTGAACACATATCCTGTAGTAGATTTGCTTTTATCCAAATCCCCTGCATAGTCAGAATCTACATACCCATTAATTAGTAAGTTTGATCCTCCGTAATATAATGCAACATTTGAGGTCCCTTTGATGTATCTGAGGATCCTCTTTACTGTATTCCAATGCTCTTTGCCTGGATTCGCCATGTATCGACTAACCACTCCCACTGCTTGTGCAATGTCTGGTCTTGTGCATATCATAGCGAATATTAAACTTCCCACTGTTGATGCATACGGTACTCGAGACATCTCCATCCTCTCTTCTTCACTGCTAGGACTCATACTGGAGGATAATTTGAAGTTAATAGGAAGAGGGGTAGAAATTGGCTTACAATCTTGCATGCTGAATCGTGACAAGATTTTCTTCAAGTAATTCTTTTGTGAAAGCCAAATCTTCTTATTACTTCTGTCTCGGTGAATTTGCATCCCTAGAATCTTGTTTGCTGATCCCAAGTCCTTCATTTTAAATTCCCTAGCCAGTTGTGCCTTCAATTCTTCAATATGATCTTTGTTGGGTCCTGCAACCAACATGTCATCTACATACAACAGCAATATAACAAAATCGTTATCACCAGACCTCTTGAAATAAACACAAGGGTCTGCATTAAGTCTGTTGTATCCAAGGCACATAATGAAAGAATCAAATCTCTTATACCAACACCTCGGCGCCTGCTTTAGACCGTACAGAGATTTGTTCAACCTGCAAACCAAGTTCTTCTTTTCTTTTTCTTCAAAACCTTCAGGCTGGAGCATATAAATTTCTTCTTCAAGATTTCCATGAAGAAAAGTTGTTTTAACATCTAGCTGCTTTAGATGTAAGTCCAATGTAGCACACATTGCCAAAACTACTAGAACTGTTGTTAGTCGAACCACAGAAAAAAATATTTCATTGAAATCAATACCTTCTTTTTGAGCATATCCTTTGACCACCAGTCTTGCACGATACCTCTCAACTTGATCGTCACCATTTCGCTTGATTTTGAAGACCCATTTGTTACCAATTGGCTTCCTTCCTTGTGGTAGTGTCACAAGGTCCCATG